ACTCAAAAAGAACTACTAGCAACTAGCAAAACACTGAATAAGCATGTCCTGAGGCTCTCTAGGAACACGACGCCTGTCAAAAGCTCGTGTTTTCTCAAACATTTCCATCATCTGTCTTGCGGGTCAACATGGCCCCCCCTCCTCAATCAATCTGTCCGGGGGGAGCGACTGGTATTTGACTATGTCAGATGCCTCACCGATATCGCGTGCCATGGAGTCCTGCACGGTTTGCTCTACTTCTATTGGGTTATACCTGTATGCTTGTCGATTGACAAATCTACCCTACCATACATACATTTGGGTGCTTCTTAGAAGCACCCCACGTCCATCATTTGGTTGCCCGAGCCAACCGTCCGACTGGGCCAGTCACTTCTGTACAAATTCAGGCCTGTTCAAAAAGTGACTAATCTCCCTCATATCAATTAGATGAAAAAGTCACGTAAAAGATACGAGTCGGTTGCTGTTTGTTTCATTGCGACTGACCCAAGTTTGAGAAACAGGTCCCAGCCACCTTCGCTTCCGTCGTGGTGGGCGATCTCTACAGATGCTACCTCAAACGAACAAACAAATTCTGTAACCGGCAAGTCGGAAAGCCATCTTGTCATCTTGGCAGTAACATGCAAATTTCAGTGCAAGAAATGCTCCATTAACAAAACACCACCAGAGAGTCATCTGCCTCCTCACAGCCCTGCTATTGAACTCCCGCACGACCGCTTTGCTAGTGCCCACCGTCCACCGGGCTCGTTGCAGATCGCCGTCATTCGGTCCACCGTCCTCATCCGAGTTTCCCACAATAGCTACGGGATTAGTTGAGGGCCTGTACCGTTGTATTTCGACCCCTGACTCGAGCTCCATAGTGATGACATACATGGATGGACACACACACGGAGATAATCAATATCGAGGCATCCATTCAGAACAAACACACACAGCCAGTATTTACACGCGGTTGCAAGGGGTAGAACCCACACTCTTCTTATTACAAGCCCCTTTAAATTACAGAGTGCGGAGGTTACTACACAAATAGCGCCCACCGCTACCTTACCTATATATTTAGGTATTAATTCAATAGTTAGGGGATGCTTGATATTTTGGGAACGCTGCTGGTTATCTCTCTCCACCCTCTAATTGTAATTGTAATATGGCCCAAAATACGCCCTGCCCCCCCGGATATTGGCCGAATCAGAGTCCAGGAAAGAATTAGCCATAGATTCCGGACGTGATGTAGTGCTGCCGATTGTACGATAATTGAATGACTAGATATTCATATGAGCCTCGTTTATGAAGCCAGCATCTAGATTGACTCTAAAACAAGCTATATGCCACGCGGTTCTACGTTCGCTCAGAACGGCAAGTAAATATAAACCTGCGTATATTCCCATTCACACGACCGACCTACATCCCCGTTCATCACACCGGCTTATTTTTCATCTTCACGAGTGCAACTTTGCCTTTCGTTTTAGCGGACGGCAACCTCCACCTCCTGGCCCTCAAACTTGGGCAGCTCAGAAGCCACCTTCTCCCAGTTCTTTGAGCCGTCAACAAGAGCTTTGATAGCATCCAAGATTTTGGATTCTTCAGCTCGGACCTGAGCTGTGGAGTCGCGGTCTCTCAGTGTAATGGTGTCGTCCTGGAGGGTCTGGAAGTCGACAGTGATGCCGAGGGGAGTACCAAGCTCGTCGTTTCGGCTGTATCGCTTACCGATACTGGCTGACGAGTCGTCGATGCGGCTAGAGATACCGGCAAGTCGGAGTTGTTGAGAGAGCTTCTTGATAATGGGGCGGAACTGGACGTTGTTCGATAGAGGAACGATGAGGACTTTGGTAGGAGCCACTGTGGGAGGGAATGAAAGGACCTATTGTTCAGCTCAGTCAGCATCTTGTAATGATATGTGATTTGTAGTATAGTTGGGGGTTGGGGCAACGCACGCCACGGGCTTCATCTCCACCGTCACTGCCACGAGTCCAGAAGTTGTGCTCAATCAGAGAGTACAGAATACGACCGATGCCGAATGAAGGCTCAATGACGTTGGGAGTGAATTCTCTCGTATTCTCGATTCTCTTTCGGAACTCAATCTTGAGAGTATCACTGCCGACCTCAACCTTGCCATCGCCAACACCGGCAACGTCCAAAGAAATCTTGCCCGAGTCTTTGAGCTGCTTGGCGAGCTTCTCCCGCTCCTCTTGCGAAGTGGCCAGCAGAGCCGTCTCCACTGTCTTGGCATCCTTCTTGAACAAAGGACCAAACTTCTTCTTCTCAATATCTACTTGCCATTCCTCGATGACAAGGGGCTCTTCCAGACGCTCACGAACCACAAGAGGCGCGCCAGTCTTCTTGGCATGGACCGACAGGTCGTAGGCGCTGCGATCAGCACAACCAACGCACTCGACCCAGCCAGAGCTAGTGAGCAACTCGGCGTCCCAGCAGTCGCAGGCGTAATGAGCCATTTCGTTGGCCATGTGCTGACGGAAGCGCATTTTTGACAGGTCGACACCAATCTTGTCCAGAAAGAGGTGGATTCTGGCAAGGAAGTAGCCGAGAGTCTCATTGTCCACAAGGCCAGACTTGACTGCCTCGCCGACGGTTACTCTCTTGGTCTCCGTCTTACCGGAAAGTTGGGTATCGCGATCCAAGAGGAGGAGTACAACGTCTTCAACTTCGTGGAATCGGTGATGCTTCTTGCCACCGTGCGGGTCAACAAAGTGTTCAATCTCGGCCATCAAGAATTCTCGGACTCGGAGCAGACCAGCGCGGGGCGAAATCTCATTTCTGTATGACTTGCCAATGGAGGCAGAGGCAAAGGGCATCTGGCTCTGGTTGAATTCGAGGAGCTTGGCAAAGTTGAGAAACTGGCCCTGAGCAGTTTCGGGGCGCAGGTAGCCGGGAAGGTTGCTGCTTGGGCCGATTGAAGTCTGGAACATGAGGTTGAACGAAACGGGGTCCGACGGTAAGACACCGGTGGCCAGGTTCTTGAGGTCGTATTTCTTGATGAGTTCACCAAGTTGAGGGCCGTCGTAGTTGTCGATTCTGGCCAGAACCTCTTCGTATTCCTGGACAACAGCATCGTCCAGCTTTACGGCCTCGGACTTGGCCTTCTTCTTCTTTTTCTTGGGATCGTCCTTCTCTTCCACCTTTTGACCACGGGCCTCCTTGTCGCCGTTTAGTCTCGCCTCGAGAATCGCCTCGACGAAGTGGTCGGCTCGCATGATTTCGCCGTTCTTGGGGTCCTTGCACATCCAGTCGGCAAACTTGTCGACGTGGCCACTGGTCTTGAGAACGTCGTGGGGCGTCAGGACAGTGCAGTCGACCTCGAGCATATCCTCCTCAAGGATGAAGTGCTTGCGCCACAGATCGACAATGTTGGCCTGTAGAGAGCAACCCGGAGGACCATAGTCATACAGACCACCAACACCACCATAGATTTCGAAAGAGGGCGTGTAGAACATGCGCCGCCTCAGCATGGCATCGAGGACGGGCTTGTCAAGGGGTTGACCCTTGAGGGTCGTTGCCGTTGTAGTCATTGCGGTTTGCTGCTTCTTTTGCGACTTGGGCACCTGGTAGGCCTGGCGGGCTCGAAAAACGGAAAAGTGGCGCGGGCAGGTCGCTGGGCACCGACGAAATATGCTGCTGGCGACAAAGGAAGATTGATATGAAGAGGAAGAACGTGGTAAAATTCGAATTGGCTTCATCCACCGCGTATATCAAGGCGTTCAAGGAACGAAGTGCGTGAGTCACAACAAACTCTGGCGCACTTGATCCCTCGATGAACTGGATGGTGGGGTTAGAAGCGTCTCGAAGACGGCTCTGTGTGTGACTCCCGATTAAGGCAAGGCCTAACGAAATGGATCCAGGGGAAGGCCGCAATACCCTAACACATCAGATGTGGGAACCTGGGCAGCCAAAGGGGCGAATGGGAGCGCCTGAGGGTGGGTGTTCCGATTTTGGCGCCGATACGGAGGGAGCTTTGTAAAGACGGAAACAGGTGAAAAATGGTGGTGGTGGTCGCGCCTGCCAGATGGAAACATTGAACCAGAGGGAAAAACTCAGGCGCCAGCAGAAGTCAATTCCGCTGCCCCTCCATCAGACCCAGGTACCTACACACCCAGCCCGGCAGGGTTGTGTACATGGGCACCTCAGAGCCTGAGGCACGACGGAAATGGAGCCATCAAGCTCCTCCAAGGCAATACCGTCAGACTCAACTGGTCCTTAATGAATTTGCTTGCAGATTCAAATATTTGGAGTCGCATCATACCATGTCCATCATTCGACATCTTCGACACGCTTGACACACTCGAGAGCCCTGGCAAATCATCAAACAGGTTTACAAGCCTAGTCTCCGGCTGGCAGTGATTGCCCAACTACTGTCGCTGTTGTGCCTCATAGGATGGTTCGCCATATATAGGTGTCTCGTTTCATGTCAATTTCCATGCCTCACACTACACGGCTCCCAAGTCAACCATACTTGGACGACAGCTGTATTTTCTACTATATAGATCTGCAATCTAGGCGCCACCAACAACATGTCGAAGAAAAGACATACTTACATTGCCGGAAACAAGACAACCCCCCGGGTAAGCATTCAAATTGAGAGGCGAAACGCACGAGAAAGAATTTAACTGCGGCTGCTTGAAAGCCTCAATCATGCCTGACAACAATCATCATCATTTGTCAGCACCGCCAATCTCGCCGGCCATTTCACGTTTCAAAACTCACCTTCAATGGTAGCGTATGTGCCTAGACCACACATCGATAGCGATGCCAAGAAATATACAACGTGCCATACGTTGACAGACACTTGAAATAAACCATCGCTCAGGAAACCGCGCATCAGTCGTTGCATCCGTCCCTCGTTGCGAAGCACTGCTCCCGTGGTCGGATCGAAACCTTCACCCATGTCCACCCGCGGGGCATGACGTTGGATATCGTATCCTAGTGCAAACAGTGGTGGGAGGTTATAAGTCAAATTCAACAAGCAGGTCGCAGAAATAATATTGATAAATCTAAACGACGTGGCACAGCTTAAACTGCGACATCTGAGAAATGTTCTGACCGAACTGGATTGTAACCTGTCCGAGAATCAGGAGAAGCCATAGTGCCTGGAGACGGTTGGTGATATATCGCATGCTCGTGCCCCAGATGCGGAACCCAAGATGACCATAATTCCTCGCCGGGAACTGGTAATTGTCGACGCCGAGATACACTCGCCAGATAAGGTGGCCGCTGTAGCCGCCCATGAAGCCAAAGATCACGGAGAAGGCAATTCCTACCTCGAATCAGACAAGACAAAGTGATAGATGGGTAGTACAAGATGGCGAAATCGCTTACCTGATCCCCATCCTAGTGTATCCATTGCGAAGACGACTCCATATGGGCACAGAATATTTATCCGTAGTGATCAAATAGAAGCCTAAGCCACTTTGTCTTGGGCGCAACATAAGCCTGTTCCCCGGCCCGCGCCTAGTAAGCATAGTAATTATACTCTTCAAACTTAACTGCGGGATCGTGTGCCTTCCGAATCTAGGGTCTAATGTAAGTAAATCCAGACGTTTGACCTTGCTCAGCCATAGGCTGAGATGGCTTCTCCATGGCCGATTAGAACGGGCAGTCGTCGCCTGCAACGGTATATATATGCAGACAAGAAGAAATTGTAAACAGTGTTAACCGCAGGCCAAAAACCGGCATAAACAAGAGGGAGGCATGATCAAGACCGACTCAAACCTCTTCTCAAAGTACCTAGGTATGTATGCTGCCAGTCGGCACGCGGACGGCAAGACAAACGACAGAGTTGGTGAGATGGACCAACATCTACAGCAACAGCCGGACGTCGCAGGTTACATGTCCAAAGCCCCATTCTTTGAGTGCACTTCTTATTCAAAAATTTGTCTTCTTCGTCTGCGCCACGCATCCCACTAAGTCTTGCATAGAAACTCTTAATGTCCGGTGCTTCGTTCATGGCAGACGAGCTGGGCGGTTGCAGCAAGCTCACCACGTTTAGCAGAACCATGGCAATTCAAGACATGAAGTCAAAATGATTAGTAATGACATCGACTTTTTTAAAACAGCCAAGACCAAAGATTATCGTTCTTGAATCTCGATAACTACCCGTTCTTCTAGAAACGTCAGAGGTTCGATATGGCCATACCATCACTTGCATCTGGTAAACTCCACAAGAAACAATTCAGCCAATCATATACCTACACCAACCTCAGTTGTACTCCGTACTAGGCTGCTCCTTATCTGCTGGTCCCACCCACGATAAGCCTGGAGAAGCACTGGCTGCCTTTTTTTTTTTCAACTCTCCTGCCAGCGCTTTTTAATCTTAGTGCCCGCCAGACCGACTTCTTCAACTATTAGACAACGACTTCGTGACAATCCGACTGACAGGATACCTTATCGCCCGTCCAAAAACCATCAGTCGCTCATATAGCCGTCTCTGAAATCCCAAGATTCACGCCTGTGCGCCTACCAAAATGCGGCCGCTCACAGAGCAAGAGACCAAGGTCCTCTTCACCAAGCTAGCCAACTACACCGGCAACTCTCTCAAGAACCTCATTGCGCCCCTCTCAGACGGAGACCGCTTCTGTTTCCGTCTGAACAAGGACCGAGTCTACTACGTCCGCCTATCCATCGCCAACCTCGCTACGTCGATAGCTCGTGACAAGCTTCTCTCATTGGGAACCTGTATTGGTACGTCCTGCACCACGACGACAAAACAACAAAAAACAACGCCAAGCCTGGCCCCCTCCTTTGATAATTAACCCCCCCGTCCCTATACTGATGGCGTGATTTCTTCTCGTGGTGTAGGCAAATTCACCAAGACCGGCAAGTTCCGCCTTCACATCACCGCCCTCGAAATCCTCTCCGAGCACGCCCGGTGGAAAGTCTGGGTCCGACCCAATGGCGAGATGCCCTTCCTCTACGGCGGTAACATTGTCAAGGCCCACGTAGGCAGATGGTCGGACGACTGCCCCGAGCACCAGGGCGTGGTGGTGTACAACATGAACGACACGCCGCTGGGCTTTGGCATCACGGCGAGAAGTACCGCTGAGGCTCGGCGGTTGGACCCGACGGGTATCACATGTTTCAGGCAGGCGGATTGCGGGGAGTATCTGCGTGATGAGGATAACTTATTTGCTACGACTTAAGACGGGGGAGGGGGGGAACAAGGATGATGGATAGCGTGGATGATGGTTGGCGTTATTTTTGGTTCATTTGGGGCATCATTCTTGTTACACTGCATAGGCGTTTCAAAAGGACAGATTTTCACATGGGACAGAGCAGATTGCGAGTTGACCATATTATGCAGGGATATTACGTCCGAAGACAGCAAAATGTTGATCTTTTTATGGATAAGAGGGGAAAAAAAAAGGAATGCAAAGCTACCAATGCCAATATCTCTAACATCACTTCTCTTGTGATTGTAGTATATTCTGAACACAAACTGTAGTTGATCCATGTCCGAAAAATAAGAACAAAATTACGCTATGTGGGAAAAAGGGTGCCTTGCGACGGCACATGCCGTAAACGTCATCAGAAAAGATCGCTGATGGGAGTCACAGGACGGCTATCCTTTCTATAGAAGCCGATGTGAGACCGCTGAGCAACATACTCGCTGTCTGCATAGCCAAGGATGCTCTGAATGTCAGTGCTCTGGTGTCCCATGATCCTCGTAATCTCCGCAGAGGCATAGTTCACCAAGGCACGGCCAACCTCCAAAGGCTCCCCGTCCCACATGTGTCCGTCAGGTCCTGGGGTCGACCTGCGGGTGACGACGGCAATGCGGACCACCTCGTGTTGTGCAAAGTTTCCCGCAACGTCAACAATGCCGACGGGAAGCAAGCCAGCCTTGTCCATCAAGGCCCTGTGGCAGCCTTGATCAATGAACAGGGTGCCCTGGGGGTGGGGAGTGTGCAGCAACCAGAAGTAACGATCTGAGATCGGGTCGCTCGAAGGCAGGAACCGCGTGTGCAGTGGAGGGGGCGCATCATCGTCCACATGGGAGGACGGGTCCATGAGGTTCAACGAGGTGGTGGTATGAGACAAGGGCGGCTCGCCATGCTGGCTCCGCTGGTCATCAGAGTCAGATGCAGATGAGCTGCTGCTGACCTTTTGCGTATGCAGGTAACGCACGATGCCGAGGATGTTCCCCGGATTGGAAGACCGGGTAATTATCGTGGTTACACCAGCCAGAGTCCCCAGCTTGGCAGCGATAATCTTGGTGCTCATACCACCTGTTCCCAAAGAGGAGCCGGCACTTGATACTATTTTGGATGCTAATTAGTTTCCACTTCTCGATTTAACCTTGCGATGGAGTGCGGGGAAGAAGGCTTACCATCTGCTTCGAGAACTGAGAAATCCTCTACAATCTCAATGGGCTTGGCATCTGCGTTTGTTCGCGGGTTCTTGTCGTACAGACAGTCAACGTCTGTCATGAGGAACAAGAGATCCGCGTGAACCATGGCCGCAGTGATTGCCGAGAGGGTATCGTTGTCGCCAAATTTAATTTCAGAAACAGCAAGGGTATCGTTCTCGTTGACAATGGGAATGACTCCCATGTCCAAAAGTGTGTTGACTGTATTCTGAGCATTCAGATATCGTGTACGCTAGTGCACAGCTGTGTTAGTGCCGGTCCGAAAGGGAAGGATAAGAAGGGACATGAGGCCCAAGAGAGAGGCGTACATCTGCAATGTCATTTCTAGTCAAGAGAATCTGGGCAATTGGCTGCGACAAATGGCCAAAGAGGCTGTCCCATAGGCTCATTAGACGGCACTGTCCAATGGCTGCCAGAGCCTACCATGGAAACTGAATGTTAGCGAGAGGAAGCTCTGTTACTACTCGTTGGATAATTATCCAGCTTCGCTTTTAGCTTACCTGGAGTTGAGCAAGATGCTTGGGGCGCTTGTCGACCTCCATTCTTTGGAGGCCGACGCCAATAGCTCCAGAGGAGACGATGACAACTCTGTGGCCATTCTTTCTCAGCTTGAATGCAGTGTCCACAATCAAGGTAAGAATGGGCAGAAGAGGCTCATGAGTCTTCTCGTCCACGATGGAGCTCGTCCCTTTACAATGTGACCCGTGTTAGACGCAGCGTCTGGAACATGAAGAATAACAAGACATGACGGCGACAACGGTAGGCCATTTCCGTTGAATAGGTAGAAAAGAAGGGGGCCTAATTGTCTCAAAGACGTACCCAGTTTAATGACAATTGTCTGTTGATGTCGTGACCGCTTCATCTCGGCGGCTTTTGATTCTCAGGGGTCAGCAAGTTCGTGAGGAAGACCAGATCCATGAAAGGCTTTAAACAGAAACTTTGAAGAGACAGGAACAGGATGCTTTTTGAGACGAAATGGAAAACAAAAATAAAAATAAGAAATGAGAAACGGGAAGCGAAGCAAACAAGAAGAACAAGAGGAGAGTCGGCTGACATGGAGCCATACAATGCATTGCGAATTTGGACTTCCTTGTCAAAACTCTGCAGAGTTGTACATGGTACAATGTCCTGACGGCGCTCCCCATACGTCACAGGCATTCTCACATGTTGGCAAACTTACTTTGAGACTCCGTAAATGCCTCGTCCGTCATCTTGAAGACTTGCTTTGGCGCGGTGTTGCATCCCCTATGGGCATTGGCATTCATTATTTTGGACTTCTCCAGACCATCTCATTGGATTTGAAGCATCATCCCAGCCCGACTTCGGACCCGCTTTCAGATTGCGTCAGTTGTCATAGGCTGCTAGAGTCGCGCCGACTCATGCAGACTTCAGGCAAAAAAAGCCTTGACGAATGTTTCGCTGCACGTGAAATGGCCTGGAGAGGTACTTGGGTACGTACTCTGAGCTGATGTACGTAGTACGGAACAAATGTACGAAGTACGGAGTACCTAGGGACATATTCTGTACTCCGTACCAACATGCCAATGGACGAATCACCTTGGAAACCAGGCCACGTATCTAGGTACCTTTTTAGGTACCTACCTAAGGTTCCCCGCTACCTGGAATAGAGAGGGACGAAGTACCCAAAAAGCGTGCCAATAGGTTCCTGAGTACCTACCTAGGTACCTGATCTTGTAGGTACCTAGAAGGTATCTTTTGACTAGCAGTACCGAGTCCGTATTTTTTGCGACACTGCGAGTCGCAGGACCACTCTTTCGCGCCTTAGTAAGAGCCGCCCCTGTGCCCTTGTGGGCCTGGCCTGCTCACCGCCCGCCCAAAGACAGCTCGCCTGTCCCTCTTTGGAAAAAGGCTGCATCGATCGGCGCGGCGCGGCAGAAATTTGCACCGCCAGCCCCATCCACTCACTCCTTGGACCACTCGAGGGAGGCAATCCATGTCCATGCTGGAGCTGCTGGAGCTGCAAGACGCTAAAACACAGTTGCGCACTGCTGCGGTGGGATTTTACGCACTCCAACGACCGCACGAAATATCAACCTTCCGGCCGGCCCTGTTGCTCTCGCTTTGCAGAGTCTTGCCAGGTACATGGTACGGGGCGGCGTTTCATCCACTCTATTCCAATCGCGATATCCAGTCAGCGGCCAGCCTCACCCACACCTAATATATACAGGACGAGATCAACCGACGCAGAAAACCAAGGCGGCTGACTCCGCCTTTGCCTGGAGACGGGTCGAGAGGCAAAGCAAAACAAGCAACTAGACTTGCCTTGGGTTGCCCTCGGGTTACCTTGGGTTGTAACCGCAATGGCGTCTTCGAGCGCCACGCCCCCGTCGACATCGACATCGACGTCCGCAGCAGCCGCAGCCTCGCTCCAGGTTGCTGCTGCTGACGCGCCAAGCGATGGAAAACTGCCAGGCCGGCCGAAGCAATTGGTCAATGACCCTGCCCGCACTGGCTTCGATCCCGAGACGAAATGGTGGATGAACTACTTCAAGATCCTGTCGAACCAGATGACCCCGGAGGGCAAGTTTCACTATAGAGAATGGCGGTACAAGGTCCACGAGGAGCGCGACTGCAAACGCTGTGAAGAGTACAAGGACTGGCTATTCACGTATTCCCCCGTAGTTCGATTCCTCTCCGACAAGATCCAAGACCTCAATGGCAAGCTGGACCGCTCCAACATCCATTGCCGTCGATGCCCCTCTGTCCTGGAGGAGGATGGCACGGTAAATCGCCAGGCCGGCGGCTTCGATCCGAACCATGGCATCCTGATATGTGCAAATGAGGTGCGAGACCGTAAGCACATGGAAGACACGGTGGCACACGAAATGGTTCATGCGTGGGATCACTTGCGATGGAAGATGGACTGGGTAGGAGACAAGGACTTGAAGCATGCCGCATGCACCGAGGTTAGTCTGCACAGCCTGCTTTTCGCAGCCCACCAGGTCCCTTGTGACCGAGGCATCATTATGGCCGTACTGACATGTTTTTCTTCCCAGATCCGAGCTTCGATGTTGAGCGGCGAGTGTCGATGGACAAGAGAAGCCTTCACCCGAGGCCAGTGGTCCGTCACGCAACAATTTCAAAACTGCGTCAGAAGACGGGCAATACAATCCGTCATGGCCCGACCCCGGTGCAAAGATGACGTACAGGCGACAAAGGTTGTCAACGAAGTTTGGGATTCATGCTTCTCCGATACGAGACCCTTTGACGAGGTATACAGGTGATGAGGAGGCCTAGTTGAACGACTAAACTTGTAACAATACCACATAATCTCCCCACAGGAGGACGTCATGTTAGACATGTCTGTATTATTTCAATGCTATAACGATACCCTGAAACACGCGAGCTGCTCAATATGATTTGCTTCATATCGTTTGGTCCTTTTGAAATATTCGCGCCCATTCGCCCCCGAACAAGACAGGGACGGGGGGGAGTGGAAAACCAAAAAAAAACAGAGGAAAAGAAAAGAAAGAAAGAACACCCCTTTACTCCAAAACATGCCGACGAATCCAAAACACTTTGCTGTTGCTGTGTACCAACTCCGCCCTTATTTGTGACAATGATAACCCCGACAGAAGGCCAAATAAGTTGTGTGTATGCCCGCGTTCCTTCAACGCCCCTTCTCACGGTTGGTAGCTCGCTCTCCTTTAACACAGTGCTTCACAATCCAAGGGTGGACCTGGACTTGCTCAAGAGAGATTCTCTTCTCGGGGTCAAGGACAAGAAGCTTGCCATACAGGTTAGCCAAACTGC